GAGAAGGTTCCGGAGAAGGTTCCGGGAGGCTTTGGTGCAGAGCAAGGTCAGGTTCAATAGGGTTCCGGAGAAGGTTCCGGAGGAGGTCTGGGAGGCGCCAGGTCAGGTTCAACAGGGTTCCGGAGAAGGTTTCGGAAAAGCTCTTAATTAGGAAGCCTTGGTGCAAAGCCAGGTCACGTTCAACGGGTCCCGGAGAGGTTGCAGAGAAAGTGCCGGAGAAGGTTTTGGGAGGAATGTTTGGTGCAGGGCCAGGTCAGGTTCCAACAGGTTCAAGGGGTTTCCAGCGCTTGGTTTCGCAGCATGCTTCAGAAAGACTTGTAAAAATAAAAGGTTGCGGCTGTTGGGGATACCACCGACGCTTATATTAAAAAAAGATGCGGCCCACGAACCCGAAAGCTCACACGTATGTTAATGGCAGAGATATCGAAACACATGGATATGCAGTCACGCAAAACACTTTTCTGCAATAGTTTAATTGAACAGTCTTGTGCACATTTCCCCTGTTACCAGTCGGCAGTGTGGAGTGGAAGGTGTAGAGTGTGGAGTGTGCAGTGGAAAGTGTACAGTGTGGAGTCTGGAGTGGGGAGTGTAAAGTAAGGAGTGTGGAGTGTAAAGTGTTGAGTGGGGAGTGTAGTGTGTGTAAAGTGTAAAGCGTGGAGTGTGGAATGCCAAAAAAACAAAAAAAACAGACAAGAAACAATAAACAGCGCACGGTTTGAAACTCAGAGAGACTTTGCGCTTCTCCCTAATCGCCGCAGCTTGTTGATACCACTTGCTCTCAAAGTCCACAGTCTGCTGCGTTGCCTGCTGCCAAGCTGCGACCAAGACTCCCAAAATCCAACAAGGGCTGCCTAGTCAAAGCTTCAAACAGTGCGCCCACTACCCTTGATGGGGGCAAGCAATCAGTCCAGGGGGTGCCCGCGGCGGCTCGTGGTACTCCTTTTTTTTTGCGGCACCCCTTTTTGGATTGTTTTTTTTTGATTGTTTTTTTTTTTGCTTTTTTTTTTGGTGTTTTTTTCCCTAGGAAAAAAAAAACAAAAAAACAAAACAAAAAACAAAAAAAAATGGGTACCACGAGCCGCCGCGGGCACCCCCTAGACTGATTGCTTGCCCCCATCAAGGGTAGTGGGCGCACTGTTTGAAGCTTTGACTAGGCAGCCCTTGTTGGATTTTGGGAGTCTTGGTCGCAGCTTGGCAGCAGGCAACGCAGCAGACTGTGGACTTTGAGAGCAAGTGGTATCAACAAGCTGCGGCGATTAGCGAGAAGCACAAAGTCTCTCTGAGTTTCAAACCGTGCGCTGTTTATTGTTTCTTGTTTGTTTTTTGTTTTGTCTTTTGTTTGTTTGTTTTTTTGTTTGTTGTTTTTTTTGTGTTTTTTTTTGATTTTTTTAATTCTTTGCTGGTTTCCAATAAAACGAAGCCTTTTGCGTCATAAGTTTACACAATCCTTGACATTCTGCGGTCAGCACCTGTCGACGCCGATTTGATTCTGGTCAATCAAGCAAGACCTGGCTGGATTCTTCACCGGCATTGTCCAGGAAAGATTCATTGGGGCGTGGTTCATGCTTGTGGACTTCCTTCGACCACATATGAATGTGGCCGCGACAATGAGGTATTTTCCGTTTCCCCAGGGAAATCCAACAATCCAGGTGATCTCATCAAAGGCCGCACCTTTCGTCGACTAAATGTCACACGGAAAATAGTCGTCAAAGATGTCCCATCCCTTCTCACGACGGTGCTTGATATGCAAACCTTTGCTCTGGGCCAACGTTGCATCCGACAATGAAGGGGAAGCCCTATGGGCAGCCCACTCTCCCCAGCCCTTTGCCTCATGGTCGTTTCCATCAGTGAGCAGATTTGGTCCATCAACTTCAAACAACTCCTTTCCAACCATCATCTATTCATCAAACACATCCGCTATGTGGACAACAGACTCATCTTTGGCGACTCTCGCCTCCAACAACTTCCACCCTATGAAGTCCTTCTTGACGAAGGCTTCTATGGAAAGCCCATCATCCTGGACACGGAACCTGACCAAGAGTTTCTTGGTTTCATGCTTGAAACCAAGCCTGTGGAACTCATCTACCACGGCCCCACCAACATCTCCCAGGTCCTATCACCATATTCATATTCGGTGTCACCATGTTCATATTCGGCATCCCCACCAAAAGTTCTTCTCAGTGGCTTTCGTTCTCGCTGCCACATCGTCGTCAAGGGTGCTTTCCCCAATTACCGAGTCCGGCAAGGCCTGGATCAGTTAATCCACTTATATACTTTGGCTGGTTTTCCCACTGAGGAACTCCACGCCATTTCATCGCAGATTTTGACTCAGCATCAAAACCTTCGCATGATAAAATACACTGACCATTTTGTCGTGCCACCTTTTGTTTCTTGTTGTCTTCGGTGTTCCCTCTCGTGGTTCTTGTTCCTGTCGTCTTTCTTCCTGTTCCCCCTGCCTGCTCCTCTAGTGTTTGGCTCAAACTCGTGCCCTCAATTTGTGTTGGTATTGTTTCGTTTGTGGTCACCATGGATCCTTCGCATGGTCGTGAGATTCACTACCACTTGGCTCGTGCGATCATGCAGCTGAACACGATTGCAGGCTTCCTTCCTTTCTTTGAACCTACAGTTGACTGGGGTGAACATCCACATGATCCATATGGTCGCCCACTTCGCGTCCATCCATCTCACAGGCACTTGCACACTTTTGTCCCCCATCCCGCTTCTTCCTCCACTCCCACTCTCGCATCCCATGGCGGGCTACCCGCTCACATGATTCTGAATCCGCAACCTCATTTACATTTTACGCCCTCTTTCCATACGTCGTGAACCTGGTCCCATTGAGGACCATCCCCCTGCCAGCCACCCAACCGCGGTGGAATCTACTTCATCCACTCGTGCCAGGCCTTCTGGACCTTCTGTCCATACTATTGCGGTCACATCGTCTCACACCGTTTCCCCAATTGCAAGAGATTCCTTGTCCGAAGACGCCCGGCCCAAACAGAAACAGCGAGCTATGACCACAGCAACATCTTCTATGACAACCAAACCCCATGTCAACGAGGTGGTTCCCTCTCTACCAGTCCTCCGTGACATTCCTCCAGAAGGTTTCAACTCCGATGACTCTGTTGAAGCAACATATCATGGACGTCCTGCATCCAATCCTCGACCGGCTTCACCACCGCCAGGGAACCCAAGTTTGCCGGTGAATGATACATCACGACCTCCAACTGCAGATGCCACTCCGATCCCAGCATCCGCCAAGTCCAGCACGGTAGCACCACCAGCTACTCCGGCAACCATTGCCCCGCTGGACCGTCGTTCCCTTCACTCTAGCATTCGCACTTGGACGGGTGCGGAAGACCATGAATTATGTCAACTCAAAAATGACAGTAAGTCCAGACCTTCATGGAAGACGATTGGCCAACGATTACGACGGGATCCAGAAGTGTGCAAGATAAGATGGTCAATATTGAAGCAGACCATGCCGGAAGGCAACCCACGTCATGAACCAGAAGCGGGGGACTGAGTGCTTCAGTGAGAAAAAACAAAAGTCGTGCATTTCAGATTACTGCCTCATTCCGTGACTGCACTAGGTAATTGGTTGTCTTTTCTTGTTGTTTCTTCCTGATGTATTACTTTAGCCTGGCTCAATCTCACTTTAGCGGTCCCATTATGGTACGTGAACGTTCTCGATCCCGTGATGACCCTCCCATGTGGGGTCATCCAAACCCTGATCGTCCTCATGACCCGGCACACCATCGTCGATGGAACTATACCCCAGCACTTCGTCGGACTAGGAGGGTCCTCATTATGATCAATCTGGACGCGACAAAACAGCTGGTGAATGAACAAATGTCGGATGTCATGGAAGCCACTACATGTGAACACCTTCATGATCTTCGTCCTGGTGAAGAAATGGCCCTGTTCACCTACAGTTGCCTGTTAACACCTGGCCAAATCCAGATCGTCTCTGTTGGCGACTTGTTGACCTACATCAGCCAATACATCTTCGACACATGGGGGATTCATATCGGGTCCACAGCCATGGACCTTCGTCGGAGTGATTGTACTGGAGATACCTTTGCATTTCACCCAAACCAGATCATCACTCGCTTGCTTCGTGAACATCGTCCCCACTGGACTGAAGCGCAAGAAATAGGGATTTTCAATTCGTTGGTTGACTTTTCCAATCCAGGTCAACGTTACATTATGCGACTCAGCTGTCACAAAGCCTTACCTAATCCTAATCACCTACCGTGACTGCCGTCAGTTCGAGAACAATCCTTACTGCTATCATTTCTTATTTCATTACCTTTGATCTTGTCTGTGTTGTTTACTGTCTCTCTGTCTCTTTATTATGGCTCCAGCTTCTAATATACCAAGACAGATTCCTCCCGTGCCGAACTTGCCTCCCCCCGCGACCTTCGGTTTGACTCCTGGTCCCAGCCAATGAGCGCTTATCGTCGCCGCCATCCCTCTGGTGCAGCCTCTTCGTCGGCCGCTGCTGCTTGCACCCGACAAGGTCTACGACTTCCAGGATCATCATCAGCTTCTGGATCTCATCCTGAGACCACATTTGGATATGCAGCTTCAGCTACCAGCCTTCCAATGCCAAATATCAACCCCACTTGGCAACAACCTGAATACTACCCACTTCAAGAACAACACTCCCAAGATCACAAGGTACTTCACACCCAAATCTTCAAGAAAGTGACTGCTGGCCATGGAGCCAACCGGGTTCGCAGATTGATGGTCACGGAAATTGACAGGACTGGTCAAGAACGCAACCGTCGACCGGAATTCTTCTTCTCTGGCTACTAGGTCATGTGAGGGACCGGTGGGAAGGATACATTGACAGTTGGACAGAGTCCCCTCGCCTGGCCAACTACTGGTGCAGGTTCTTCAACATTGATGAAATACATGAAGAAACCAACACTGAAGGTCACCAAGCAGTACATCATCAAAATGAATCTGACGATACTGCCCCTGGTGATGCAGAGGACCTCGCGGATGACACCTCGGTGACAGTCCATACGGGAGATGTGCCGGTTCCAAGTCAGGTACACCAACTGGCCACCATTCTTTACAATGTGTTGACCGCGGATCCTGAATACAATGCCCCGATCCTTGAGAAGCTTCAGATCCCTCCGGAAGACCCATCGGGTACCCAGGTAAAACTGTTCACCGCAGTGGAACTTTCGCATATGGCCAGCCACCTTGCTATCACAGCAACTGAGTTGGCTCGAAACGCTCGACCTGATGACTATGAGGACGTCTCGGGCATGTCTGACTAAATCATGTACCTCTCCTGAGCTGCGGCTTAGCTAATTTTGCTAATACAAATTCATTCATTGCACTTCACCTTCTTGTCTCTGGCCTTTTGATCACACGATCCGAACCCAGTTGACCGTATCAGAGCTCCTTCACATTGCAATTGTGCATCTTCAGAAAAAAGCCCTGCGGCAGCAGGGCGTGTGTGTGGAACATCTGAACAGATGTAAAACTTCTACCTGATGATGTCGCTTTTTGCTGTTCATTTGGGTTTCGGTTTTCTCTTCGTGATACTTTGTCAACTTCAACAGCCGGTTTCAACTTCAATATCCATTTTAGAGCAGGGGGTAGCGGCAGATCATCTGGGACCGCTACCAACGAAGATACCCATTTGATCTGGTGATACAGATTGGGACGCCAATCTGCGTACCTGCACCATTTTTCATTTCTCGTCAATGGCAACCGGCTAAGCCCAGAACCGGCATGTCGGTTTTGCAAATTTCACAATTTCCGCACAGTTGTCGCAATCTGTCAACTTATTTCATCTAGCATGGACTTTGGCGATAGTTTCTTCTCATTCATTCTCGGGTCTTTTCACCAACCCATTACTGTCAGGTATAACTGGAGTGCTTTCGCACGTAAAATGCATTCCACATCAGAATTCGCAAAGATTGTTCTGAGCAAGTGTGTGTGTGTGTGTATCGTCTGAATAGACGTAAAACTTCGTCCTTATATTATATTATATATGGCAGGGGGCAGAGGGATCTCCAGTTGTGGCCTCTGCCAACGAAGCTCCACACTGGAGATCAGGTAAACGTACCTGCCTGTCCCGCCCTGGGCGCATTTAAGACGCAGCTGGGGGGACATAATATATTATATCGCTGTTGTTTTTTACTGTCTTTGTCTACTGTGATCTTACATATATATATATAATCTTCATCGTATATTAATTCGGCTCCTGTCTAATCTGCATGTTTCAGGATTCAGTTCCTGCCGGATCATATAATGATCCATTCTTGTCTAGTGTGATTTCCATGGTGGCTCCGACATGGTGCCATGGAGCCATTTGAGGCAACCCTTTTCAGGGTGAGTGTCGACCGTCTTGAATTCTGAATTCACACATTTTAACTTAGTAATTCGTTTAAGTAAAGGGAAACAATCAGCCTTGCGGTTTATCAGCCTTTCCGAGAGTCCCGCGGCTCCTATTGTCCCTTGTGATCCTCGTGAATTGCATTCTTCAAGCGTGACGTTGTTCGAAACAATCAGAAACCTTCTCCTTTTCGCAGCTGCTTTTGACGATTCATGACAACAGCATTTGATACAGGAATCAGGCAGGCACACGACTTTCAGGTGTGGTGATTCTTTCTTTTGATGGTTGTCTGGTGAGGTTAAACATTTTGTGCATCTAATTCGATGGAACTTGAAAGCTGTTTTATGCCAATTGGGGCATGACTTGACCACGGTCCCGGTGCAGGGAATAATCGCACGACATTTAGGAAATTAGGGACTGAATCCTGTTTTTGGTTTTGTTTTTCACTAACTAGGTCCCCATTGGTCCCCTATCTCATGCTCTCCTCCCTCCCCAGGTAGGTTGGTTCCGTCGCGTGCTGAGGTTTTGTAGGTTTTCGCTTTGGCAGGTTGGTTCAGGCGCTTCCGTCTTCCCCCCCCTCCGCTGGTCTTGGTCCGTGTCCGTCGACCCTCCGCTTTTTTCTTTTCCCTTGCCTTTTCAGGGTTCGCCCGCTCCGGGCTAGGTGTGTTGGTGTGTGTTTGCTCCTTCCCTCTTCTTTTGCGTTCCCCTCTTCGCGTCCTGGTTAAGTAACGTTCATCTCATTGTCACTCTCATCTCATTTTCATCCCCCGTTCATCCTCACTTTCATCTCATTTTTACGCGCACCACCCTGCCGGAGGCAGGGTGTGTGTGTGTGTATCGTCTGAATAGACGTAAAACTTCGTCCTTATATTATATTATATATGGCGGGGGGCAGAGGGATCTCCAGTTGTGGCCTCTGCCAACGAAGCTCCACACTGGAGATCAGGTAAACGTACCTGCCTGTCCCGCCCTGGGCGCATTTAAGACGCAGCTGGGGGGACATAATATATTTTTCGCTGTTGTTTTATACTGTCATTGTCCACTGTGATCTATATATATATATATATGTCGTATATTAATTCGGCTCCTGTCTAATCTGCATGTTTCAGGATTCAGTTCCTGCCGGATCATATAATGATCCATTCTTGTCTAGTGTGTGGAACATCTGAAGAGATGTAAAACTTCTACCTTGATTGACGGAATTGCTTTTTCTTATCAGGTTCTTTGCCATTACAATGAACCAGTCTTGAGTATTTTACCAGGCGTTTATCCAATCTCCTTTTCAATTGCAGGGGGCGTGACTGATTTCCTAGTCACGCCAACGAAGCTATGGAAATCAACTGGATGGAAGTTTGGACGCAAACTTCTGTACCTGCAGTGTCGCTCCTGGGCGCATTCAAGTCGCAGCTGGGGGACACGTCATACTGTGTTTTCTGTTGTTGTTTAACTGCACTGTCAAGTGCCAACCAAACTTCAACCTGAGGTTTCTCACTTCTGATCAGTCAATGGCTCCTGTCAGGTTTAATTGGAGTGTTTTTGCACGTAAGATGCATTCCACATCAGAATTCGCAAAGATGTTTCTGAGCAAGTGTGTGATTCATGCTGGATTCGTCAAGGTGGCATGAACCCCTCGGGGAAAGCCTTTCCAGGCTAAAAATTGACACGTTGAAACGACCTCAGAATTGACACTTTTGAATTAGTAATTCGTCTAAGTATCGTGAAACAGCTGGCCGGCCATTTTTCGGTTTTCACCCTGTCGACTGTCGTTTAGTTGAACAGCATGCCGCTGTGCCTGGCTTCACCCTTTGTTTTGTCTGAATTTACACTTTTGAATTAGTAATTCGTTTAAGTAAAGTGAACAGCTGGCCATTTTTCGGTTTTCACCCTGTCGAATGTCGTTTGGTTGAACAACGTGCCGCTGTGCCTGGCTTCACCTTTTCTTTCATGAAAAATCAGGCAATAGGACATGCTTTAGGTGTGGTCTTTCTTTCTTTTTATGGCCGTTGGTGAGGTTCAATTGTGCACGTAATTCAGGGGTTGACGACGTAAGCCGTTTACAGGGTGTGAAATGAAAGCCGAGGGCCTTTGAGCCTTATCGCGAAAAATGCACGTAATGTGGATGCATCTTATTTCATCAACTAGTTCCCCATTGGTCCCCTATCTCATGCGCGCTTTCCTCTCTAGGTCAGGTTTGGGTCGTTTGCCCGTTTCGGGCCAGGTGTGTTGGTGTTGGTGTTCTCTCTTTTTCCTTTTCCTTTTTGCGTTCCCCCTCTTGTGTTCCGGTTAAGTAATTGTCATTTTCATCGTCATCTCATTTTCATCTTTCCTTCATCTTCACCTTCATCTCATTCGTCGGGGCCTTAAAAAGCCTCGCGGCAGCGGGGCGTGTGTGTGGAACATCTGAAGAGATGTAAAACTTCTACCTTGATTGACGGAATTGCTTTTTCTTATCAAGTTCTTTGCCATTACAATGAACCAGTGTTGAGTATTTTACCAGGCGTTTATCCAATCTCCTTTTCAATTGCAGGGGGCGTGACGGTTGATTTCCTAGTCACGCCAACGAAGCTATGGAAATCAACTGGATGGAAGTTTGGACGCAAACTTCTGTACCTGCAGTGTCGCTCCTGGGCGCATTCAAGTCGCAGCTGGGGGACACGTCATATTGTGTTTTCTGTTGTTGTTTAACTGCATTGTCAAGTGCCAACCAAACTTCAACCTGAGGTTTCTTACTTCTGATCACTCAATGGCTCCTGTCAGGTTTAATTGGAGTGCTTTTGCACGTAAGATGCATTCCACATAAGAATTCGCAAAGATGTTTCTGAGCAAGTGTGTGATTCATGCTGGATTCGTCAAGGTGGCATGAACCCTTCGGGGAAAGCTTTTCCAAGCTAAGACTTGGCACTTCGAAATGACCTCTGAATTGACACTTTTGAATTAGTAATTCGTCTAAGTAACGTGAAACAGCTGGCCATTTTTCGGTTTTCACCCTGTCGACTGTCATTTGGTTGAACAGCATGCCGCTGTGCCTGGCTTCACCTTTTCTTTTGCCTGAATTTACACTTTTGAATTTCGTTTAAGTAAAGTGAACAGCTGGCCATTTTTCGGTTTTCACCCTGTCGAATGTCGTTTGGTTGAACAACGTGCCGCTGTGCCTGGCTTCACCTTTTCTTTCATGAAAAATCAGGCAACAGGACATGCTTTAGGTGTGGTTTTTTTTCTTTTTATGGTCGTTGGTGAGGTTCAATTGTGCACGTAATTCAGGGGTTGACAACTTAAGCCGTTTACAGGGTTGTGACATGAAAGCCGAGGGCCTTTGAGCCTTATCACGAAAAATGCACGTAATGAGGATGCATCTTATTTCATCAACTAGTTCCCCATTGGTCCCCTATCTCATGCGCGCTTCCCTCTCTAGGTCAGGTTTGGGTCCTTCGCGTTCCTAGGTAGGCTTTGGCTCTCGCCTTGTAGGTTGTGTCAGGCGCTTCTGTCCGCCCCCCCCCCTCCTCTGGTTGGTTTTTTGGCCCGTCGTCCGTCCGCTTTTTCTTTTTCCTTGCCCTTTCAGGGTTTGCCCGTTTCGGGCCAGGTGTGTTGGTGTTGGTGTTCTCTCTTTTTCCTTTTCCTTTTTGCGTTCCCCCTCTTTTGTTCCGGTCAAGTAATTGTCATCTCATTTTCATCGTCATCTCATTTTCATCTTTCCTTCATCTTCACCTTCATCTCATTCGTCGGGGCCTTAAAAAGCCTCGCGGCAGCGGGGCGTGTGTGTGTGTGCGTGTGTGTGGAACATCTGAAGAGATGTAAAACTTCTACCGCTACCTTGATTGACGGAATTGCTTTTTCTTATCAGGTTCTTTGCCATTACAATGAACCAGTTTTGAATATTTTACCAGGCGTTTATCCAATCTCCTTTTCAATTGCAGGGGGGGCGTGACGGTTGAT